GGCACCAACTTTATCATTCCAAGAAAGAAGGATCTGCACGATCATCCTTGATTTCGGAAACCGAACACAAACGACTCAAGCGGTAACCTTATCCTAGTCCCAAAAATACAGGACATCGCCTTGAAACCAGGATGGATTCAAGTGCGCTACATATCCAGACCTGAACACGGGACAATACCACATCGAGCTGTCACCTCACTCGAAGCAACACTGACCATTGCACTTCCCAGAGAAAGCACGAGTACAAGAGTTGCCAATGGGCCTAATGGTCATAGTCCCACAATTTGCTCCAAAAGGAAAGATGAAAGTCACCTTGCATGATACTGAAACCATATGTCCAGTGCATACATTGAGATCAAACTCATCCTAACGACGTCGATCTCCCTCGCATATCGCGTTGAACAGTAGGAGACCTTTCCCCAAGAGACTGCCATAAAGTCGGGAATTGAAATCAACACTACACAAGTGCCTTCCTCAGTAGAAGAGAGAACTGGAGTATTCAGTCAATTGGACTTCTCCAGAGAGGAAGCCAACTCTTAACTAAAAAGATAACAGATTGCATCCAGCTATCGCTCTTCGTACCAACAGGAATAACTTCGTTAATTTCGATGGACCAATGAACTCACCAAGGGCTGCTCCACGACAGCAGACCGAGAACCATGTCTAACAGACTGGGTTACCCAGTATCCATGTCCGGTCGTCATGGACAAGAGACGTGAGTCCCGCGTAGAGGTCGGAAGACTCCCGGGATGAACATGGACTTCGTCGCAAGTTCACGCGCGTCAATCGTGACAAGCTTCACCACATCCGTTTCAAAGCAAACCGGAAATACATCAAGGAACGTCCGCCAACGACTTATCCAGAAAAACACAGATAAGGAGAACACGGCAGTGTCCCTCATCAACACCATGTCAACGAACTATGATATCATCATTATCAGAACCGTTAATACGGTCAGCAACGACAAGGTCTTACCACACAGACGAGTAATAACAATGGCACTGCACGCTCCGACATACTACCCAATGGCGGCACGTCTACCAGACTTGGAACATAAGGTATTTACACCCATACAAGGCCTGATCCCCTTGTAGGATTGCCATCGTGCGACGCACTGTCTACATCCAATCTCAGAGAGTGCCCGCACTTTAATTCATATATTCTCCTTGTCCGACTGAGTCGTGCCTTCCGTGACCCTTGTCAGGGGGCGAATGCATACACGGCTCTTAGCCTTATTCGCGACTCGATCCTAGATAGGGTTTGAGTTCGACTCATGACTGAGTCTTTCGTGAATAGTCATGAGACAGGGTTCTCATGACCTAGTATCACTAGGTCGATGGTGAAACATGCGCTAGATATTTAGCTGGCGTGGAGAGATTCCACGCTACTAGATAAACTGAACCCACGTTCCGTTTTTGGATCTGGAGTGAGTAGGATTGCTACCGACAACCTACTCTATCACACTCTACAGTCTCCCGCGGAGTTCAGATCTACGATCCTTTGATTGTATCTCTTCGTATTAGTTTTCATAGTTTTTAATCCTCTCATAATTTCATTCTCTCAAACTCAAAAAATCGAAAGACTTTACACTAGCTTTTAGCGTAGTGCAAAGGTTCCTGTGACCGAGGCTATGCAGGCGACTGGAAGTGTCTCACACCTTATGGTGCAAGAAACTGCCAACACAGGAGATCCATGGCTGCATTGAGAGCCAGACACGAAACTGTCAACAGGCGATTCAAAACATTTGGAGCCTTGACGCACTGCTTCCGCCATGATGTCAACAATCACCATACTTACTTTCGTGCTGCTGCTGTTTTTATTCAGGTTGCTCATCAAATTGGATACTCTCATTATGATGTTGTTGGCTATGTTCATCCAGTGACTGAAGCTGATTGGGAGTGATGCCAACAGCTGGTTGCCAGTGTTGGTTCTTTGGAGCCAGGGGACCATGGCTTGTTTTCCCACTCCGAGTGGACAGCATGGTGAGGATCTGTTGGTTGAGATTGGTGGTGGTGAAGGCAACCTTGCAATCTAGCAATCTGGAACCATTGTCTGGACCTATGAGAGAGCATGCTGTTGTGGACCAGCATCTGTTAAGCATTCTATGCTGTGTAATGGAGCCCAGAGCAATTCAAAGGGCATTGCTGTTTGTGATTGACAATGTTGGCTTGTTGCCTTCTATTCTCCTAGATAACAAACTCTAACAAGTTCTGGTTAAGGCTGATTGTTTGATCACCCCAGTGTACAGCTTTTCAGGCACGTCCAATATGGAAACAATAACCAGTTTGTTGAATGGTGATGAATGGTGATGAAAATGATGAATCCGTGATTTTTAAAAGGTGATGAACAATTATACTATTTTACTATACAGGCTGAATCTAAACTATCGAGACAAACGCAAGCCCGCACCCGGTAAGACATTCGAATGCGAACCGGAACGTCCTGGAACGTTGCTTGAAAAGACTTAAAGGACCATACTAACCTCAACCTTAAGCTCAACTGACATCACTCGTTCGATCGATCGATCCAAGCCACTCGTACACCTCTTCTTTTTCATTATTTCGATACCTTTATCTTTATTGACTCTTTCAAGATGATGCTTCCTCCTCTTTACAGCGGCTACTCCTCTTAACAGCGGCTACTACTCACCACCATGACAGGCTCCTCTAGTTTGGTTAGGCTGGAAGCAGCGGTCGGTCGACGGATCGATTTGGTCCATGACAGGAGCTTCCCTTCCGTTCGACGACGGATCGATTTGGTCGGTCGACGACTTCTTTCTTCTTCCACGGAGCCTCTTCACGGAGCGACCATGACGCCTCCTCTTCCGCGAGCGAACGGAGCGATCGAGCCAGCCGACAAGAACAAGTGACTGCTACTAGAACGACAAGCGACGCCTCGTCAATGGCACTCGGTTCGGCAGATCGATCCGGCTTTCACAGAGTGCCTCTTTCATGGAGCGACCACGAGGATCGCTTCCTCTTCCACGGAGTGGCTGTGAGCCTGTGACACTGCTACTACTAATGCAACAAGCGGCAGCTTCTCTACTACTGCTTTGAGTGATTGGCTAACTACAAACATGAAATCAGCTCAATTTTCCCTGCCCAAGCCAACAATTCTCCTTTGAATCTTTTGGATGGGTGCTCCAGTCTTTATGCAAACCCAACCATCCATTTACATGACTCTACAGTGCAGATTGAGTGCTGAGAGTGAGGACAGGAGCACCTTTCCCATGGAGAAAAAAAATGCATGGCAGAATGACAACAAAATGGAATCCAAGCCTGACTTTTCCTGGATGCTCCATAGGAAACCTTGGAGATAGCAAATCCTTTTTGAGGGGTGGCTCTGTGAGTGTGTTGGGGAGCTAGTTCTAGAAAAGGATTTGCTATCTCAATGTATTGGTAAAGCTAATGGCCATTTGGTCAACTCTGTTGCCATGGTGATAAAATTCATTTTATTTGCTTCAATCTGTTCTTTGTGGGAAGCAGTCATTGCTATGCAGGATTCGCGAAATGACCACTTCTGGGTTCCCATTTCCGAAAATTGAAACATAACCGTCCAAAACGCTCACATTTTGACACCTGTCAGCGGTGTATAAAGTCATCCTGTAGTCCAGCTAGGTGATGATTATTGATGATGAATGGTGATGAAAATGATGAAATTGTGATGAAATGTGATGAATGGTGATGAATCATCACCAAAGTGTTGAATTGTGATGAAAATGCTTATTTGGTGCTGAATTCTAGATTTTCATGTTTCGCAGGACCTTCCGGCCACTTCTATCCGTATTTGCTATTATACTGTTTGTCACTCTGATGTCTGAACGCCACTTCACCGTGTGGGGCTAATATCGTAAGAGCTAGCTAGCTAGCTAGAGATCCCTCTGGTTGCAGGTGCCACCCAAATAATCTCGCTTCTAGATTCCCTCTGTGTCACCGTTCCCTAAGAATGGGCCGGATACCGGTACTGTGGGCACCAATAGTTTTAAACTGAAGGTGGATGTGCCTGGTACTACGATTGTATCTAGCATTGTTGGCAGTGCTACATGAATGGTGAAAAGGTACCGTACCGATAAAATTCTTTGATTAGTCGCTTAAAAGTACTGGAGTACAGTCGTAAAGTGGCTGCGGGGTCGGTTCCGGAACATGAAAATATTGTGAATGCAAACAAGACGAAGTTGCTCTGATAGTGGGCTCAAGCTTCACGGAGGTAACGACGGGTCACGGCTCCACAAAAGGGTGGCTCGAAGGATGCCAAATCCGCCACGTTGTTGCCATTGATGCCAATGTACCCCGGATTCGAGCCACTGACCCAGTTGGGCTTGGTCAAGGTGATGGTTTGGCCGGAATATTCCGCGTTGAAATTGCTGGCATCCACGGTAACGTCTCCCAGGTCCAACCCGGTGTCACTAAAGTCCAAGACAATCGTAGGCACGTCAAACCCAACATCTAAACCTGCCCACCATGGATTGGCACCGTCGCGGATTCTCACGACGCAGCTGGGAGCAGGAACTGGTTCGCTGTCCTCGCTGGGAGATTCGGCTGTGGGGGCAGCTGTGGGAGGAGTGGGGTCCTCTGGGTCCTCTGAGTCCTCGGGGTCCTCTGAGACCGGGTCTCCTTCAAACATGACATCGATGCAACCATGGAAGCGCTCGTAGGTCCACTCGTTGCGTCCCCACTCACCGTAAATGACATGACGGCCCCCGCGGGGAGGAATATCGCAGTACGTACTGAAAGTCGTTGATTGAATATCAGCGACAACGTCTGGGTTGCCACTTCGGTCGTTGTCACTGTAAAACAAGACACAGAAGGGCTCTTCGTCAAAGTCATCCCATGAAAGCTCAGAACCAGAGTCAAACTCGAAGCCGGGCTTGGTGATCCAATAACGGAACTCTTCGGTATCGAGAAAGTGAGGGCCCCAGGCAATATTCCATCGGATTTCCTGGCGACCAGCTTCCATGTCAGTGGTCGGCCAGTCCATCGCAATATCCCAAGGGGTGGCGCCGCCTTTAGAATATCCAGCAAATCATTGTGACAAAGATTGTGCATGAGTGGTTGAACGGAGTTATCAGTAAACATGTACGCATGATTTGCTTCGATTCAATCGCGCCGTCTCCGCTGCGCTTACCTTGCCAAGTCTCCGAATCAAAGCCACAGACATGGTCAGACCTTCCTCCCATGCGGCCGATATCATGAGTGAGTACACTCATGAACGAGTAGCCACCCGTAAAATCTTCCGTGAAGGGGTCCTCGCACTCGGGAGTCGCAGGGTTGCCACCGTAAATCACTTCATGGGGTTTGGTTTCAACACCACAGATTTGATTGCGGGAAGGTGGGTACTCAATGAGACCATGACCTTGAACAGAAGTCAACGAGAGGACCGACGAGGTGAGGAATGCGATGGCAGAAATCGTGATCTTCATGGTGAAAATGGTTGATAGAATGCTGCTTGAGTTAGTAGAAGGGTTTTCTTTAGTTTCCTTTTGGAGAGGCTTGCTGAATTGCTGATTTCAGAATTGTGAGAGCTTTCGGTGGCAACCAAATCTCAAGGCTCGAAGCCGAGGCATGATACCAAGTGGTGCACGCGGACTGGCAGAATCACCAATGATCTCGTGGTGGTTGTACCAGCCAGCACGCTTTGGTAGGAGAGTCAATCTTCTTCACGCATTAGTGAGCGATATGTCGTGGGAATTTACTGGGCTCCAAGAGCAACAATCGACTCCCGTGCTCCAATCCAGCGACCTGAATGGTTTTCGGTGCGATTTCTTGCGAAGAAGTTTAAAAGTGTGAGCCAGTCAATTTTAAAAAGCAGTTTTGTTACGCCCCAATGACAGTCTTCCGCTTGTATCATCTGATGATGGCTCTCTCCCACCATTGTGAACATTGGTGAAACGGTGCGAGGAGCGAGGAGATCTGCCGTAACTGCACCGTACCGATTCTTTCGGTTTCTCCGTTCTCGGGGTTCCGAGTGTGTTTGGTGCGTGCCCCTAGGGTATGAAGATACCATACTTAGATGAATTAGATTTAGTGTCGTTTGTTTTCATTCTTGCAGCGATGAAAAGAGTATAACAATGGACAGTAAACGCTCCGCGACCTTCACTGTCAAGAAGTGGTGCTTGAGTCACAATGTCACAATGTCCATCGGACTTACCGGTACTCTTGCACCAGTACGGTACGGTACCGGTACGGTACGGGAGTACACGACAGCAGCTTCGGTACCGAAACAAACCAAATGCATTCACAGCTCAGATACGATATCGTAATTGAAACAGTCAAAGATACACCCAACACTCCCACACCGCAAGATTCGGTTCCTGATGAAACAGTCAAAGGTTAAGTCGATCACATCGCCATGAGCCAAAGAAGAATAGATATATTATTCCTCGTCATTGGAGAGAGGTGAGCGTGGCTCCACTGTTCGTCTACGTTCTCGACTGGCTCTCGAGCGAGTAGTCTCCAGTACTGAACTCCTGTGTTTTGTTCTTGACGGATACCGTAGCCACTGGCAAGTAGCGGGATTTGTTCTTGACGGATACCGCAGCCACTGGCAAGTAGCGGGACTAGCTATTGGGATCCAAGATAGTACCAGCATCTTCTCATAATCAGCAGTGGGAGTGCGCGGTGCTAGAGTTGGAACGTTGTTCTGCCTCATGGGACTCTCGGCGACTGAGGTCACCCTTCCTCGCTCCAGCCCACAGCTGGCTTCACCTCTGTACAAACGGAATGATCAATCTTTTCAACCATGCACCAACTTCACCTCCATAGTCTGCCTCGTGCAGCACTTGAAGAAGACGAGCCAAGAAGCAATCGAGCAAGGAACCTAGTGAATTGGCTGCCTTTGCTAGTGGGCGGGCTGACCTAAGAGCATCTCAGCTCTTTCGGTGAAGTCCTTTTCCCTATTCGAGAAAAACGGCAAAGCGAGGAAGCACGCCATCATCACTGAACCTGTTTCTCCGCCTGTTTGGCTCTAGTCTCCTTCGAAGAAAAAAGAAGATACACGACGATGATGCCGATCTGCCGTCCCAACCCAGCGGAGGAGGATACCGAACTGACTGGTCCAGGGAACATTCTGGATTCTGGATCAACTTCTTGTGGAAAGAGGCAAGGTCTCAGGTACCGTAACGAGAAAATGCCAGCCGTACCCTCTATGCAAGGTTGCTTTGCTTGGTTGGTCCGATCAGCCTACTAGTCGTCGTCGGCTTCGAAATCGCAGCATTCGCTTCGGGTTGAAGGGTCGTGCTGCTTGCAGAACCCAGTTTGCCTAGTCTGTCCTCGGGGTGAGTTCCTTGGGATCGCAACTTCCGCACAAGGCCATTAGGGGAAACACATTCGCGCTTGTGAGTGTTGCCGAGCCTCACCTCACCTCCGCAGCGTCGAGCCGGATAACCATGCTCTTCGTAAAACTCCCGCCTGTACCGGTAGTACCGTAAAAGTAGAGCAAAGCTAGTGTATTCTGAAAAGGATTGATGAAACTTGTGGTCTATAGTAGAGTATCGTTAAGAATGTATATGAAGGGTACAATTGTGCAATGTGTATAATGCAATGCAAGACAAAGAAGGGACGTGGCTCCTTGATCGTTGGTATGGTGCGGTGGTTTGCCTGCTGTGCCGCTACCTTCATCCACAAACTGTCGAGCCAATGAAATCTTGCTTGCACCTCACTGGGCTGATAGTCTCTCTTCCCCAAAGCGCAGAGAATCATTGCCGTCGTCGAATTCCCCGTCAATGATCTGAAGTGCATCCTCAAGGATTGCAAGGATTCGAGTTCTGCTCATGTTGGACCGTTCGTTGATCTGTGTTGGAGACAATGCCAAGCTCGGGGGGAACGAGGCGGCGAGGGCCCCTTGGGCCAGAGCAGCGGTCAAACTGAATCCATTTCCACAGCCGTCGTTAGTGTTGGGAGGATTTGAGCTTTGTGGGCGCTTGGACATGGTGAAGAGTGAATGTGAATGTGTATGTTATCAGGGCGGAAAAGTGATTCTGATTTCGAAGTTTAGGTTTTTGTTTTTTGTGAGAGGGTGAGGTTAGGAAAAAAGGGATGTGCAAAAAGCGAACTCTCGTCTCAAGAATGCAGAGTTACCGGTATGAATATGCTCTTCGCTTGGCCACCACAGAAGATGTAAGTCCTGGTACTTTACTAGTAGTAGCATTGGACCGGGGAAAGATGCGTTGCAAGATTGCCGCCCTCCAAACCTTGCAGCTCCCGGGTACTAGCTAGAATAGGAGAGCACCAAACACCAAACTGGCGAGCACTGGCATAAGTGATAAGAAGGTCTCAATCAAGCTGGCACCTGGCACTTTCCAGTGGGAACCAGACGAATCATCGTTTCTTTCTAGAGTTCGTTGGTTGGTTCTTTTCTTTGTTGAGTGGGACTTTTCCGACCCTGTGATTATTTGACCTAACGCCCATATCCAGCGAAAAGAGCTGCGAAAAGTCACCCCAAACGAATCCCTTCAGCTCCCTTCTCTCAGAGTAATAAGAAGAGCAGCCACCTAGGAAAAGTTCTCTTTATTTCCAGCCACATCGACACTTTCCCAGGCACATCCAGAGCTCATCCAGTCACATCGTCACCTTTTTCTGAGTTCTTCAGGGGAACGAACCCTATTAAATGTCAACTGGCAATTATCCATCTTCAGGGCCAAGTGTGAATCATTGCTGCTTGTATAAGCATGTTATGAGAGTGTTATGAGCAGCTTATGAAGTTATGAGACAATAGCTGACAGTGCCACAATTAGTAAAGGTCCAATCTACGAGGCAACAGCGTAATCGAGTACGGAGCTACTCGAGTAATCTTATAATCCAGTACCAGTACTGAGTATTTTCTAAAACATTGTTTGATGTTTGATGAGCTTGACCCTCTGCTAATAGCTACAGAACCGGTAGGGTCTGGGCATAGGATACCAGCACCGCACTGTCTGCGAGCGCTTTCTTACGGTGCTTTTCGACCGAAGAAGCAGCCTTTGGGCCTTTGGTCCTCCCATCTAATTAGCCTTCATAGCCTGGGCTACGGCAGCAAGAATTGCAATTACATTCATATTATGTGCGTACCTGCAGCTGGCTGGCCTTCTTGATTTTGCCACGTTGGCCACTAATTACTAACAAATTAGCCTTCTGCTTCTGCTTTCTGGTTCTGGTTCTACTGTAGCAGCTATCGAGTTCGTAGCTACTTTGCGCACACTGAGGCTCTGCATCTCGGCTGATCCAAGAACAATCCTCCCTTCGGCTGATCCAAGAACAATCCTCCCACGTCCCTTCAGTTGAAAGCTGTCATGGCTGCATCGTCATCTACCTCCTGCATGGCCTACTAGACTGGCGGTCTGCATGTATTTGTTGTAGGCCAAGAACACAACGCAAGTTGCTTTTTAGTGGATTCAATTTGAGGTATAACCTGTCTCCAGGCACCAAGCAGGGCCCACAATCATGGCTTGAAGAAGGAGGAAACAACCATTGAGTTGACCATTCACTGTTTGCCTTGTTTGCGGTACTAGTAGGCTGGCTGCAGGTAGACTGCTGAAGTCGCGGTTCGCGGGAATTGTGGGGTAGCAAAGTCACCCCAAAAACCCTTCAAGGCCTACCGGTACCAGAAGCCAGAAGCAAACATCGCAAAAAGAAGGCTACTATTTCTAGCTGGCCTTAATGGCTCATATCTCAGTCGTAGCATGTTCTTATTTATGGAGGTAACCGGTGGGCTTCAAAATTTAATGAAGTTTCAAGCAAAAAGAGAAGTGGCAATGGTGCAATAGGACCCAGTTGCTGCTTTGCAGCTGCGTTAACGCTCAGCTTTCAGCTTCCTGCTTTCTCACGAATGACGATTGACGATTAGCTACGGGTACAACTAACTAAAACTACAAAACTACATGTATCTGGCCAAGAAAACCAGCAAAGAGTGACTTCAAACTCAATAAATTATATTTAGAATACTCACTTTTTGCTGCAATTGATAAATAACTTCAAACTCAACGCAAACACTGTAGATGGGGCAATTCTCCATGAACTCTACTCAGTACTACTAGCTAGTATGGCTATGCATAGCTAGCTAGCTTGTAGCTCCTCGACGTGTACGTGTAGAATGCAACACTTCTTCACTTCTTTTGGGTTTGCTCGTATTCCACCAGCCACAGACTTACTTGCTTCCAAGAATCAGAACAAACAGAAGGCATTGTGCCCTTTGCTTTGGCTTCACTTCTTCAGATTGCATATTTCCTTCGTTAGTCTTCGGGGCCAGCGACAGGCTATTTCGAGTCCAGTCCACCTCTAGCTAGCTATCATAGCTAGTTACATACATCTCTACCAAACGTTCTATTGCTTTCCAGCTGGCTGGCAATGGTAGACTAGTTAGTCTGTTCTGGTTCTCCAGCAAGAAGAAGATCCCACCAACCAAAAAGATGCATCCTAGCTAGCCTAGTCAACAGCCAGAGAAGATTCCACGGTGTCGGTTTAGTTGCTTTTCCAGCAACCATGTTTCGAGCGAGTATCAAGTGTAACGTGGCCTGCCCCGGTTGAGGAAGAGGGGGCGGATGGCCAGATAGCCAACTACATGTACAGTACAGTACACCTACGCATATATGTGTCGGATGTGTGTCTACAAAAACCATGTACTAGCTAGCTCGAATCCGGAGCGAGGGTGACATGGTGCCAAGATTGCTTGCTTCGTGCTTTTTGCTTCCTGTTGATCAGGAAAGCAATCAAAGAACGAGGTTGCTTCGGGTAGGCAGTCGAAGGCTAGCTAACCACCAGCTTTGCCATAGCCAGTGGGTAGCCATTCGCTCAGGAAGCATCATCATGGTTCGATACTAGAGAACAAGGCAGGCACCCAGTATTGCTTGGCTGCTTTGAAACAGTGGCGGCCACCATTGGAATACGAAGGAAAGGACGCGAGAAGAATCGAATCAGGTCGATCAGCGAAGGATCCAATAGCTAAAATACAAAGTTGGCTCTGGAATATGCATGGTAGTTTGGCTGTGGTTGTCAAGCCAAGGTGATGGGTTCCATAGGAGCGGTACCGTCGTGGATCAGTCACTGAGTGCGTACCATAGATAATAAAGAACCTGATCTCTAAAAAGAGAGGGTCGGTGAGTCGAGTCGGGCCCATTCGAAAATCCTCTTAAAGCTATTTAGTTAGTGTTGAGGATACAAAACCCGTTATGTACCGTCATGTACGATCGTACCGTATCTTTTCTAAAGCAAGCAAGCTTTTGGATAAGGGGATGTTAGAGTAGGGAAATTAGCTAGCTTTTGGATCTTTTTGACGACAAAGGTTGCTGTTGATGATTAGTAAACGGCATGCCGAGTTTATGTATTGTCTGTGTTGTGCGTTGAAAGAAAGAAAGAAGGATGCGAGTCAAGACATTGGCATTTCTGTTGTTGTTGGTTGGTTCCCTGTCAGCGTTGATTTGGGTTGCTTTGCTGTTGGTGACCTTTCAACAGCAGCAGAATGGCAGTGCTGGTAGTATTAGTAGTCTGCCAGAGGATCGTGGCTTGACAGAGGAACGTCGCAAACTGCAGGCGTATCTGGAAACAGCACAAGATCGCATCAAGGAGCTAGAAGACCAAATCCAGGAATTCCAAAAACACAATTCCAACAATCATAACAAAAATCATAATCACAACGACCACAACGACTGTCCCAAATCAGACAATCAGCAACAGAAAGAACCAAAAGAACTCAATGATGAAGAAGAACAACCGTTTGTGTCTCAAAATCCCGTCTGTCAACTCATTTCTACAACAACTACTACTGGTACTGGTAGTAGTAGCGCAATTCCACATGCATCTGCCGTGTGGACTCAACAGATTTCCCAAATCCACAAGGCCAGTCAACTTTCCAACGATCATCGATTCGACTTTTCCGACTTTACAGCCCAATTGCTGCATCTCGTTTCTCCACGGTTGCATCAGAGTGTCAAGACCACACCCACGGCCAATTGGCCAAAAGTCGATGAAATTCTACGCGTCGCTCATGCGCGATATCAGTACATTACTACTAATAGTCATCGATTGCGCGCCGCCGACGATCCACCTCCTCCACGTCCCGTCAAGATTGTCATTATGGGAGGATCCCTCCTGGTGGGGATGAATTGTCGCAAGATCATTCGCGATTTGGGACTCCAAATGCGTCTGCCGTTGGGAGATTGTGCCTGGGGCACGCGTCTCGAACGACTGCTCAATCAATTTTTACTGGGCGGCACATTGATTGGTTGGAATCAACGAGACGAACAATTCAATACCCATTACGTCGTCCAAGTGACCAAAATTGCCATGGGTGGCACCAATACACAAACGGGGACCAAAATTTTGGAGTATGATCTCATTCCCGACGAAGCCAAGAATCCAGATATTATTATTAATGCCTATGCGACCAATGATATGCATATCATTACCATGCTCGAAGCACAATCGGGCAATGCCACGTTGCGCGATCGAGTGTTTGACATGACACAAGACTTTGTCCGACGCGTCATGGATTACGAGTGTGTCGACGTAATGCCACCACTGATGATTCACATGGATGATTATTTGGGCAATGAACAACGGACCATATGGGCCACGACGGAATTGTCACAGGGGATTCAAGTGTTGGCCAATTATTATGGATTTGCCAGTGTTTCCTACAGCGATGTCGTACGAGAATGGGTCTACGGCGATACACACGAATACTGGTTCTCTCCGGAAGGTTGGTGGGATACGGATAGTGGCACTACAAGCATTATGACACGAGAAATTCATCCCAACATGGGAATGCACATTGTGGCCGCATGGGTCATGGCATACAATTTGTTGCATATCACCACTACCTTTTGTAGTTTGGAAGGATGGAACTTGTCGTCGTCGTCCAAAAAAGGAGTACAGTCGTTGGAGTATACCAATACCAATCTAAACAATCTACCGGTTCTGACGGGAAATTACGTGCCATTGGGTAAACCCAAACCTCATGCCAAAGGACTTCCTCCGCCACTTACCAAAACATTGTCACTGGAAAATGTGAGCCAACTCTGGCAACAGCAACAACAATCCAACCAACAACAAGCTGACGATAGTACTCCAAGCCATTGCTCCAACGATGGCGTCAAGTGTCCCTTTTCGTGGCTCTCGGGAATTTCCAATGAAATTACAAAACCGGAAGAACTAGAGGCATACTTTATGAAATACACACAACTCCGCAAGGGAGATTGGACATTTCAAGAGGATCATCACAAATTGGGAATTGTGCCACATTCCACCATGAGTCCGTTTGTGCTGGAACTGGAGGCGGTGACACAAACCATTCGCAAGGTCACCATCTTTTACATGAAAAGCTACGGGACCAAGTGGGCGGACAGCAAGGTACAAACGCAAGTGTGGAAACAACCAACCGGCATGGACGAATTTGAGCTCTTGCAGGAAAACGAGTTTGTGGGGTATCATGACAAACACACCAGTGAAACATACACGGAAGCCATGAAGTTGAAGGACCCCGTGGAAGCGGGGGCAACCTTGCGCATTCGAGTGACACTCATGACTGGCGCTACCTTCAAAATCATGGGGTTTGCCATTTGCAGTTAGCTATAGCTACCAGCTACTGCAGGCAACTATGTTTGGATTATTGACACTCTTGAGGAGCCTCCAAAATCCATCCTGCCCATGGAAACAAAAGTTGCCATCAAACGCAAGCTGCCGTCCCATGGTGAGCGCACAATGATTGTTTGGCCAGGGAGAAGCAGCTCTCGAAACAGACCGATCTGTACCAATATCTCCAGAGGCTCCTACCGCACAGCGGGAACATTATTTCGAGACTGCCGGCAACCTGAAGCTGCGGCAACGCACCAAGCGACGGCCGGTTGCAGGTTGGTGTTGGTACGTTTCTCAAACAAAACGCGATTGCACAAGGAACGGGAACTGGCTAGAAGCATGTACGGTAGCAGCAAGCGATTTCTTTAGTATGTAGTTAGTTATGGCAATAGTAGCTACTCGCCTGCAACTGTCCTGCAAATGAATGATTTGATAGTGTATCAATGAAATACAACAGGAAGAATCTCTCTTTGAAAATGTACTCTCTCCGTTCCAGGATGCAATACCCGAGCGAAAGACAGCACAGCAGTTCTCGCCGACAACAACAAATTGGATACAAGACATCTGAAACAACAAGGAGACACGCCTTTCAGCTTCGTTCTTCAGCCCAGCTTGAACGGCAATGTTGTCGTGGCTTAAGCCACCTTGCTGGACTCCTCCGAGTGACGGGCACAAAACTCCTCGTGATGCTTGCGCATGTCTTTTATGGCTTGTTTCATGTCATCAATGGATGGCAAAAAGGTAGTACGGAATCCGTGTCGACCGGGTTTTTGTCCAAATCCGGCCGCGGGAACTACACAAATTCCAGTGGATTCCAACAAGGAGAGGGCATAGTACGTATCGACGGCCATGCCCTGTTGCTTGGCCGCCGCAATGGCCCCGGGTGGCATTTCAATGGCGGGGAAACAGTACATGGATCCTTGTGCGGGTTGGCAGGAGAATCCGTCAATGGAGTTGAGTCCTTCCGTCATGAGCTTGGCTTTGGCCTTGAGCTCGTCGTAGATCTTTCTCTTTTGTGCCTCGTGTTCTCGATGTGACTCGGTCCAAGGATCGGGTCCCCGGACCATGAGATCCATGAGAATCTGTCCATCGAGATTGGGACACAAGCCCGACGATGCGAGCTTGTAGAGATGTCCTTCGACACTGGCATCCATACCGACAACTTCCATGTATCCACCGCGGTGTCCACATTCTCCGTAGAGTCCCTTGGAAGTGGAATGGAAGGAGATGAGTTCAATGGCATCTTGTTCGAGGAGTCCCGTCTCCCATGCCGCTCGTTTGGCACTGACAAACTCGGCATTTTCATCGTAGACATTGTCTTGGTATACTTCGTCACTCAACAATACCAACTTGTGTTTGGCACAAAATGTAACGACATCACAAAGGGCCTGTCGGGTCAAGACTTGTCCGGTGGGGTTTCCTGGGTTGATGAGTACAAATCCCACAACGTTAATGCCCTTGGCCTTGGCATCCGCCAGCTGTTGTTCCAGGTGATCCATGTCCATGGACCATCCCTTTTCTTCTTCCAAGTAGTATCCGACTTGATGTGCTCCATGACAGGCAATGGCGGCGCTGTAAATGGGATACTGTGGAATGGGGATCATGATTCCAGCATCGGGTCCATTGAGGAGTACATCGAGTATCATTTCAATACCACTGGATGCTCCATTGCACATGAAAATGTGTTCTGGATTGGATGTCACACCTCCATCTCGTTGTTCGATAAACTTGGCAATATCTTGTCGAAATGCCAAGTGTCCTTGAGAATGGGAATAGGCACCGGTGCCTTGATCTCCCAATCCGACGTGACTGATTTCTCGTGCTCGATCAATGACATCTTGAGGAAACACCTTTGCGAGTTCGGGATGATCAATGCCCTTGGAAGGTGGCAAGTTACAGAGTGCCATGACTTGACGAGGCCATTGCAAGGATTCTTGTCCCACTTGATGAGGATTGCCCACATTGGTGTAGAGGACTTTGGTGTACGTGTGAGACTGGGGATTCTCTTCCAGTTCGTGCTGCAACGCATCGGCGGCAATGACGACTTGTCCACGGACGGCATACTCCATGTTGCGGATATTCTGGGACATGGTGTCTTCTGTCAAGCGCTTGTCGCTGGAATACCAACGGATATTGGATGCCACGGCCACTCGTTGGATGGGGAGTCCCCGTCGAGCCAGTGTCGATGTGAACAGAGCCTTGGCAAGCGACATCTTCATACAATGATAGTAAAAAAGCTAGAGATGAGAGAGCTGAATGGGCTGAAGCGAAGTCGTTTTGTAGATCCTGAGTTTAGTTTTTGTGAGAGATGAATGAAGATACCTTTTGGAATGAATGGAGCTGCCCTGAAACTGCAGTGTTAACAATGAACAATGGGAACCTAGCAGCCAAAAGATATGGCACGGATGTGCGAGGGGAACGGCGGGTTCTGATTGTATGTTACGGTTCAGCCAACCCGAGAGGTCAATGCCTTGCAATTGGAATGTCTTTGGTCGGCATCTTTATCAAAATGCTTTTGGCTTCGCAAAGTTGTGACATCCCTGTTCGCTTTGGTTTTGTGTGTCTTCTCTTCGCCAGTGCCAACACGATTGGTACCGGTGGCGAAAATACTGTGGATTCATTGAGTCATTAGTGACGTCATAGAAAGAAAATGCTGCCAACACGTACCACTCCTTCCGCTCCCTCCACACCTCCAATGCTTGCTCATTGTTTTGCTCTATCGTCGCAACCAGAGTTGACAATAGCACAAGTCACCAACGTTGCTTGTCTGTTAGCATGTTATCTCCATCCAAGTGTCTGTTGCTTCTCTTTGTCTGTATCCAGCAGGCGAGTGGATTTGTTGCTGTTGCTGCGACCAACAACGAAAAGCAGCATGGGAATCTTTCCGTCGAACAATCCCCGGGACGCCCACGGCCAATATTAGTACCAGGCAGCAGATTGTCAATGGCTGATGCAGACGATGCCAAAGCCGAGGAAACTGCAGGAGAAGGAGAAGAGGAAGAAGAAGAACAGATTGCACAATCTACCATTAAAATCGATGATGGAGGATCTGATTTGACGGATCGATTCAAGTACAAGGTGGGTATCCGACAATACCGTACTACGTTCTCCTTTTTTGTCTCCAGCTCTGATGGTTTCTTGTATGGTTATCTTTAGGTCAATGCATTGATGGGAGTATTTGACCCCCAGGGGGATGACGACGAACGTCAAGATGGAAACATTTTGAATGCCATGCTCACATTTCCAATACAGTACAGTTTCAATATTGTGGGCAAGACGAGTGACGATACGGCAGAAGCATTTGTGCAACAAGTCAAGGACGCCGTCATGGAAACCACGGGAGATGAGGATGGAATGCAATGTCAAATCACACCACGCGGCAAAAATTATACCAAAGTGACGGTCCAAGCCACCGTTCAAAGTGCCGCCATGATCTCGGGGGTTTACAAGGCTCTCGAAGGGTTGGAAATGACAGTCATGAGGTTTTAACAAAGACGTGATTTATAAAATTGAAACATAATTGCATCCACCAAGAGGGGGTGTACTGAGTGGAGGACACGGCAGCAATCTACAGGTCGGGAAAAGAGGATATGGTAAGAAAGCAATGGATGCAAGGAATGAAGCCTTCAAATAAATGATACCTTTCTCAGACTGTGGGAAACATCGATTCCACAGTCAATGACCCAAACTCTTCAACCTGCCTTATCATGATGGGAGGGCCAAGCTGAGGCGACTGGAGCAATGGCTCATAATAATGCCACGGAGGCAGGTTGGTTGCAGCACGGTACCGGTACAGTCGCCATCGTTCAGAGGCACCTATCATAGATAAAACAGTGCAATCCCATCCATTATACTGCTCATGTAGGAAGTTCCTAGCATTTTTAAGCTTTTCACAGGTTGGTGACTTGACTGGACAGCTTGCTAGTTACTGGTGCTAAAGGGAACATCCTGGGGTATCCTGATGAAGCGGAAATCAATACCAGCAATAGCTACCAACATAACAACCAGGAACCTCTGAGGCACCAGCATTCGAGTGACGGGTCAGCGGTAGCAACACCTATCTAGCAAAGTGCTTTGGAGAGCACTGACTTCCATAGGTAACCACCAGAGGTACCAGATACCCACTCTAGCTAGCTATTCTGGCTAGCTGGCCAATACTGTACAGTACTGTAGCCACCATTGTTGACCCAAAGAAGCAGTGTCGTGTCTTCTGGTGTTCCGGTATGCTTACCGGTACTGGTAGCTGTTATGATGAGTACCGGTAGCTGCCCGCGGACTTAGCCGTCTTGCCCCCAAATTTTTGGCGTTAGAAGAATGTTCCACAAAAGTAGGGCTCTTCACGAGCGAACAGGCCGAAATTTCTTTGGCGGTGCGCAACGCCCCCAGTTTCGCAATAATTCCCAGCGACGACGCCTGCGGGAGATCTGAGACAAAACAGGGGTCTGTTTAGCTAAGCTTGTGGTGGTGGCAGGTGACAGTCCTCACTCCGCTCTTGTAAAAGTACTCGCAGTACCACCTCGTTATCCGTTCCTCTACCTCACTGAAGTTTGAGGGGAGGTTAAGATAGATACCCCATCATAAGCAACAACAGTTATCGAACTGTACCGGTACGATCGGTTGACTGGGAGGAGCTGTTATCCTAACTTGGCTCATGAGAAGCGAACGGTAGCCGGAAGATAATGCAGGCGATGGAAATGACCCCGACGGCTTCGGACTCGGTCGATGCATGCGAGAACCAAATCGTATATATACCGCACCTAGACCACAGAGATGGGAAAGATGATACCGTTGGGAAAGATAATCCCATCGGTGATTCTGATCCGAATGACCCCGAGCTGGCCCCCTTGCCTTTGGTTGATGGAGGCGTGAAGGCCATGGCCAAGGCAACTTCCTTTGGCAGTGAAGACGACCGGCGAAGCAAGGAACGTTGTCTGCGACGGAGCTGCCGCAAATGCTACCGTGAATTTGCTGCCTTCAAGCCCCGGCTGTTTGCTGTTTCATTTGGGTTCATCTTGCCCCTTCTGTCACTGGTAGTACTGGCGGCACTGTGTGGATACCCCTTGGCCTTGATGGAATCTCCATTGGAACTGCAGCAAAATGACTTGCTATTGGCGGCACAAATGAGAATGATCGTACAAGGAGCCCTCTATACCAACTTGACGCAGAGGCTACCTCTGATATGTTTGAGACTTCACTTTGCGAATTGGACGGCGGAGGATTTCATGGAGAATGTCACTACTGTGCTGGCTGCACCAGAAGCGATTGTTGAGAATATAACAGACGCAATCGAACATCTTGTGGAAAAGAAGAAGAATCAAACGCAGCGGACGAGAAATACCACAGCAGCAAATGCCACCAATTCCTCTCCAACTACGTTGGCAGGCACGATAATCTCCGACGTCGTCGTCAACGAAACGATTGAGGAGGTCGAAGATTTTTTGGAAGACGCTCAAGATACCGTTGGGGACATGTGGAATGTACTCTCCTTTAACCAACTACCCGAGATTCCAGATGACTACGTTGCATACATTAATGCAACAGAACTCTCGCTATACCTTACTGACTGTGGAGCCCAATTGAGCCCCGTGATTGATGCCATGTTTTTCTCCTTGGCTTCCACAGCCAGGTCTGCTCTGACCGATGATATTACTTTCGCGTGGAGTCGTTGTCCCACCAATGCTACAGCCCTGGACTTGCCAACTTCTATTCCGCCTTCTCTACTGCTGGATTATCTTCTAGATTACAATCCGGATGCCGTGAATCTCACAACGCACCCGCACAACTATGTAAGTTCTTTCTCCACGTTTGCTTGCTCCTTTGGGACCTGGCTGGATGTGATGAAACTCACACTTTGCACATACGTGCTCATTATTAGGATGCACAAAATGCCTACTATCGCCATACATGGGAAAAGGATCGTATCGCAAGGTATCAATACTACCACAATAGTGACCTGTTTCGCCCTGGCAGTCCAGAGAAGAATGGCACCCTCTGGAAACGGATCTGGGCCTTTGAAAAGTCACTCCGCGAGGCCACTGGAGGTGCCGAGTGTCACCCAAATATTCCAGCCGCAGGTTGGTTCTGGTTTACAGTGATGACTACAATTGGATACGGCAACACATCCCCAGTCTCCTGGGGAGGAAAGGCCATGGTGTTTACTCTTGGCTTTATTTCCATCATTCTCTTTGGATTCGTGTCGACACGAGCAGCCTACGTCATTACATCTCTGATGGATGACCTTCTTATACGAATCAATCTACGTTCCATGGTACAACCGTGGGCTGAAGTTATTTTGTGGGGAAATATTGCATTTGTGTGGATGATTGCCATTGCCGCCTACTATGTCCAATGGCAAAGGGAACGCCTCGGAAAAGATGGAATCACGGACATGGCCACGGGATACTGGTTTGCCTTTATCTCCACCACGACTGTAGGATTTGGAGACTACTATTTGGCTCCGGAAGTGATGGAAGTATCTGATTTGTTCACATACCCGGTCATGTTCCTGTTGGGATTCTCCTTGTTGGCAGCTTTCTTGTCCAAATTGTCCCAGCTTGTCGTTACACCCTTTGGAGAAGGACCTGACTTGGTGGAACACTTCCAAGCCGTGGACGAGCTCAAACGCAGTCTAAGAGAGGACCCGCGTGATGATGGGAACTTGAGGAGGAGGAGAAGGAAGGGCTCCAACAGCGGTCACGAGACAAATGACAAGAACCAGTCCATTGAGCTGCATGCGAACGATGACAGCGACCATTGAGTATTTCAGCGTGGCGTACATTCCATTCGCACGCAGTGGAACGATCTCACCAGAAAGGTGTCGATTGTTGCAAACGAATTCGACATTGATGTGCATCTATATTGAACGTCTTTGGTACCTTTGTCGCAAGCTCTTTTCTTCCTGTTTGATTTGCCAGTGTGATGTCGACGTGTTGCAATTGAATTCAACACGGAATGTGCATCGGAACTGGCACCTACTGTATTGATAGACGAAGGCAAGCGGCAGATGCCCTGCCGCTGGCTGGCTGGCTCAAGAGGACCACTATCTAAACTTTCATTTACCTTAATCATTTTTGTTTGCTTGCTGCGGAAGACTTTAATCACAGATTGCCCTGGAGCTGCCTCACGACCGCTGTGGGTCCCGCCTCGACAGCTTGGAGGTCCGTCTCGAGGAGGCCATCATCGCTCCTCTTCCGCTTTCTACCGCAGAAACGTGCCGGTATGCGACGTCGGCTGGCACCACGAGCAAGCTTTACGGTACTCCAAAGCCCTGGCAACTCTCGCAAGAGCCCATATTGAAGCATTGTAGAGTTTTTCTTGGCTAGCTCTCTACGTTTCTTCATACACTCTCCTTTGGAAACCTCATTAACAGATGCCAGCATTGCCACAAACTCATTGAGACTCAACCCATTTTCACTGGACTTCCTTATGCGTCCTCGCCCAGCTTTGTTGAGTCCCAAAAAGTACTTCAGCTTCAAAGAAGCCCAAGGATCCGGGCACTCACAAAAAGGTTCCACTACACAGCAACATGTACGATTACTGACTTGAACCAATGTGCAGTTAGAAGTTTGAATGATGCGCTCAAGTCGATCGGTCGCAGTGTTGCCAATTTCTCTGTCATGAATAAGCAGCCTTTCTAGATGTGAATTGTTTCGAAGAGCATTAATCACAGGGAGCCAACCTTTTGCATCATCAGCAGTCCCACAGACCTTCAGATCACGCAATCTCCCACACCGCACAATGCGCTGTATAACATCTACATCTTGTGCTCTGAAGAGACCTGAGCGTATGGTCAAATTCTGGAGAGAAGGCAAATGCACCATCCAAAAAAGGAGTAGTGTCGAATCAATGTTCGTCTGGGGTTCAGGCAGTGTCATGTTCACACTCTCCACTCCACAACCTTGGCTTTCTGACTGCGCAGCACTTAGGGATGCAACCAAGTTTTGGATTTGTGAAGACATCACCTGTGTGTTGCAGTTTTCAAGTTTGTAAGGGGAGAATGATTGGAATCGAATGGACCGCAACTTTTTGCTCCTAAAGACAACTCGGAGCACCTCAAACAATGCCTCTGTTGTCCATTTCCTACAACGAGACTCCAGAGTTCTCACTTCTGGGAGAATTTGATTGAACCTCATAACGCGCTCAAGATCGATTTTGCGGCCTTGTCCTAGACAAAGGTAGTTTGCATTTGTATTGGCTTTCAAAGCGTCCACCACTGATGAGTCTGTCACATACTTGCAGGCGTCTAGAAACTCATTAATAGTCAATGAAATCTCCAACTTCTGAGCCAAGAATTTGATTACGTTGCTGCTCACACCGTACTTGCACGCCTCGATGATAGTCTGCTCAGTCAGAGCATTTCTGTTGGTAGTGTAGACCCTTTCAATCTCGTGGAGAGGCCTGCCTGCCAAGATGAACGTTCGAAGTGGAGTGAATTCTTTCCGTGCCAACTTGCGGTTATTTTCAAGTAACTCAATGAATGGATCCAATCCATTATTGATAGATCCGTTCTGTTTTTGGACACGGTCGTGTGTTGGCTCGTTGCTCATTGTGCTTTGACTGAATGATCAATCAGCCACAGCACAGATTCCCTTCGCGGTCGCGTGACTGCTCTCAACAATAGTGGATCAGTTTGTGACTTTGTCAGTTTCAAGACCAGTGGTGGAGGGATAGATGTTTGATCGCTTGCAGCGATGGCGAGCGTAATAAATGAAGGTGGTGTCGACGACTACATGTACCGGGCCGGGTATGCTAGCTAGCTAGGCATTCGATTTGCACGAAAATAAATCTCAAGGAAGCAACATCACCGTGTACTTCCACGGCCAATTGAGCGTGATCGTGGAATCTATCATTATTGATTGAATTCGTGGCTCAATTTCTTGAAGCCTTTTTCTTCAACAGAAAGGCCACTGGCAAGGTTTGAACTTTGGCAACAGAGAATTTGGCAGCGCTTGCTGGCTTATTGCTGAGGGAAAACGTCAGTTGCCACCACGGGATGAAGAATGATGGGTCATCTCCATTGAGCTGCCACCATTGGATCCAACGGGGCCACTTTACTCGCCTGCATTACTAGTAAACCATCAAGCCGTCATTGGTGGAGAAGAATCATGTTGCACTCTCTTCCGTCCCAGTCTTCGAGGTGTTTTCTATTGCTAGCCAGACGAAGATCCCTCCACCCATGGAAGCGTCCAAGGCGATTTCTGTGTGGGACTACCAATCCTCCAAAGAAGAAGGTATCCTGTACTATTGTTTCGTACTTGACAGATATTGAAGGCGATGGATCCTACTTGGATCGATATGTGGAACAATCCCGAGTGCTCCAGTTTGTACCCACGGACCCTCGGAACACCAACAATCCAATCAGCCACAACAAGAACTTTTCGTCGTGTGCCTATTTCCCATACGACCGTTGCCTGGACTTTGGGGACGATCGAGGAATGCTCATTTTCGGTGGAGATATTTGGGACAAGGGAGGATCGGATCTCTACGTCATTCGACAACTCTTGGATTTCAAACGACGGTATCCCGACCGCGTGCATTTGATCATGGGCAATCGAGATATTAATAAAATGAGAATACACCAAGAAATGGGGAGCAACAACCAAGAAGATCTGCCACCACATGACGGAGTCTACTGGTTGCGAAATCACTTGCAATCGACCAATGCAGGCGACGAATCCAGTATTGTACCGTCACAAACCAGTGCATCTGAACGACTCCAATTCTTGCTGGGACGGACCATGGGAAGTCCCAATGCATTCGAATCACGTCGATTGGAATTGCAGCGAGAGCGACAATTGGTAGCAGACAAAAACAACACGACAATCAGTATTAGTGACCGGGATGTGGTCCAATCGTATCGAGAGAGCTGTCACCCCGTCACGGGAGAAATGGGAAACTATCTGGCCAATGCCACTCTGGCCTTTAGCCTGGGAGCACTCTTTGTGGTGCATGGGGCGTTGCCACTGACGAATCCAGTACTGCAACAGCAGATCATAAAAGAAGAAGCAGAATCAAGCCACAACCAACAATCAGCTGATTGTTGGAAGGACCTGTCCTTTGCCATGCCATGGACAAGCGAGTCGGGGAGCCAAGAAGCATCACCATCATCGAGTATTACTACAGCCAAGAAAGCAATCCACGATTGGGTGGATGCTCTAAACCAGTTTGCCCGGGAATCCATTGACGCTTGGCAACAAGAAGCCGACAATGACCCGCCAGAAGAAAAAGGCAGCGTCTGGGCTACCAACGGTGGATATTCCAAAGAGTTTCCAGCCTACAAACTGACGCAGTATGGAATGGGATGGACTCCCGATGGAAAACGCAATCCCACCGTCGTGTACTCGAGTTGGGCCGTGGATGGAATGCCTCTGCGATTCGTTCCAGGCGACGACAACAAAGAGGACTCGCTCTTTGCTCGTCTTGTCCGAGAATTCTTTCGGCAGTCCAACATCAAGTTGATCTTATCAGGACATCAGCCTCAGGGGGACATGCCGTTACCAATAAGAATCTTTGAAGAGACGCAATCAACAACTCGTGGTCATGGTGAGGACGAGCAACTACAACTGGGTTGGGTACTTTGCTGCGACACGAGCTACTCCGGAGATACAAACTGGGTCAATCGTGACAGACAAAACATGGGGAGAGGTCGCGGCCCTGGATTTCGAGGTGATGTTGCCGTCGCCGAAACGCTCGTGACAATCGACAATGAGGGACGGTTGCAGGATGTCAGATGGCACGGCGTGCTATGCGATGGAACATTATATGAGACGGAGAATTTGCTATCATCGTCGTCTTGTGCTCCTTCTGTTGGCTACCTTGCAGACGGGGATTGGTTGCCCGACCAGGATGGGACACCTCATGAAACTCCTTGGTGGACCAAAGCACTTATGGCGGACGGGTCGGTTCTGTTGTCCACGGCCAAGGGGTATGACGTCTCGAACTACATGGCGAAACCTCATCAGAGCCAAGGGCCAGCAGAAGAAGCTCCTAGTCAGAAATGAGTCTAAGATCCTTTCCCTCTTTGGCTGCGAGCGGCAATCATTTGAACAGATAGGATACGGGATCTAGCTAGCTAAAATTACTGCTGAATCGGTCCTCTACTGTAAAGGTAATCGATCATAAGTCCAAGGACGACCCATGACTTGTGGAACCAATATCACCTGCCAACAGGTGAGGCAAAACTTGAAGGAAGTGCGATCCAGCATCGTGGATGTTCCTTGCAAAAGCAACATGGCAAGCAAAGCCTTGCATTGTCTGACACTCGCCACCACAGCGGTTCCCAGTCCTATCCAGCGCGTATTCTGCCAGTGACGTCTCCAACTGAATCAATGCCTCCGAAAGCGGCATGTCGCTGACAGAGCATGATTTCTCTTTGTCCACCGACACAGTCAGCGCATTGAAATCAACCATTTCATGGGACAGCATGGTGGCATGAATGGATGAAACGACCTCTTTTAAGCTCAGTGTCAATTTGGCTTCCGCTGGAAAGGAAGGATCCAATGGTTGGTAGTCTTGACGTAGCAGAACATCGGCTGCCAACAGTGATCTCAATGTCAATCGCACTGCCAAACCGGAAAGTCGCATAGACTTGACTTGACTGTCGCGTATCCCCTCAAAGGCGCTCGCTTGAAGAGCGGCTTCCAGTGGAACACGGGACACTTGGACGGCAACAGACAGTATGTGAAAGACGTCATCATCCTCGGGCTCTGTGATGAGGTGTATAGGAATCAGTTTCTTTCCTTGGAGAAAGGTCTCCATGACAGCCTCGGCTGCAAGCGAGGTATCTAGTATTGCATCTGCCAGGTATGCCTTTGCCAGGGAAGTTGCAGATAAAGTGGGCGGCAGCCAGGACACTAGGAGTCCAATGATGCCTCCAATTCCAATCATGACGGCTCGAAAGACGCCAACCCAAACATCATCATCCACAAGGATCGACGCAGATAAAAACACAAATGTGATGAAACCCAAGAGGTACGCATAAGACCAGGTGCCACCTTGGTCGGCCATGTAAGTGCCTGCCACGCAAACGGCAAAGTTGACCATAGCATTCAAAATGTGACCAAGAGGATAAAGTACGTTGGAAAGCTCACTGCACGCTATGCCCAACAAGATAGACAGAGCCGCCGCCACAACCGTTCCAATTGTTCGGTTGATCATCTTTTGGTTAGTTTCTCCGGGTGTTGGCAAAATGACTATCGCCGTAGTGATGACTAAAGAACAGGAAGGAACTTTAAGATGGTGACAAACGGTGTAGATTACACGATAGCTGATCTCCTGATCTCTGGCACTTACCAGCCCAGACACCCGTTTGCTGGAAATAGGTGTCAACGGGCTCTATCAGGACGAACTGAAGGGAAATCAGCACGCCGAGGCCCACTTTGAAAGCATGAATTCGTTGCTGACGTGCGATGAGGTTGGAACTGTAGCGGTTGGGTTTGACGTCTTGGGTGCCTTTAGTAGGATCATTATCAGTGTCTGGAGGACTTGATGTCGCCAAAGACGGAAGATTGTCGGAACCAATATCTGCCATCTTTCCCTGTTGATTTGGGGCCGAGAAAGATTATTATGAGCTGGAAGAAAGAACCTCCTATGCCTGCAGGAACCAAAGCTGACGCTGGAAGCAATGATGTGGAGTTTCGCAATGGTGCAGGTTTCGTGGATCTTTGTGGAACACCTTGTGACCACCCTGCGTCAGTCATTAGCGGGACTTGATGCTAACCCGATTCCAACTTCTCGAAGCACTTTTTCAGGAGCCTTTGGCTCTTCAACTTTAGCCAACTTTCAGAAGGGAGTAGATGAGTAGTCTAGATGCACCAAATTGTAACTCATTGACGGCGCGGTGTTTGTCCAACCCATCTCAGGGAAGCCATTCCTACAGCCTTCGAACTTTGAAGAATGATAGCCATTACATATGATAGCCTTTTACTGGTTCTAGCCATTCAAGAACTGGTGCGAGAGTGTTAGGCTTTGAAATAAGGTGCGAAAAGGGAGCCAGCTTATTATTATCATTCCTTATTCATCATTTACATAAACTGTATATCTCCTCTCCACTACTAAATTAGTTGTTAGCAAAATCGATTCCCTTCTGGATTTGCTTCTTCAAATCGGGCAACATCTTGTCGAACCATCCCTTTTCGTACGCAGTAAGCTCGCCGTATCCCAACACTTCCGTGACACCGTCAGGTCCGAACTTGCAGGGACTAGCAAAGTAGGGAGCATCCGTGAGGGTGGATTCCACAAAGGCGCATTGAGTGATTTCTTCTCCGTCCATGGCCCGCAAGACATTTTCGGTAAACACGTATCCAGCATATGCCATACTCAAAGTGGCACTTCCAGCGCCAGCCTTGGCTTTGACCACTTCATCTCCTCCAAATTGGGTTCGGACCGTGAGAGCATCCATTTTCTTTTCATCCACAGCATCCATGAATCCAGGAACTTGGCTAAAGAGTGGGCAAAAGGTATTCCGCGTGCCTCCAATACGGTGGAACACTCCACTGCTGGGCCTTCCAGCTCCCTACAAACGTATTGGCACGGCAGACATCCAAAGTGGTGACACCGCAGAGTTTTTTGGGATCATAGACACCCCTGGCCTTCAAAACTTCGGCAGCAATGGGGACGGTGGAATTGACGGGGTTGGAAATAATGGCCAAAACGGCTCCAGGACAATATTCGGCACATGACTCCACAAGTCCCTTGACAATTCCTTTTGGTAGAAAGACACACAAAACAAGGAAAAACGAAGTTTAGTTGTTTTTCATTGCAGCAATGAATTTCTGGGCTTCCAAGGTCCCAAAGGCTCCACAGAACCAAAAATAATTCAAAAGCAATGCCAAAAGAGAGAATACCCACCTGCATTAGTCTGATTTTTGAGAAAATAATGTTAGTTTGAGCATTCAAAAAGAAAGAAACCAAAAAATGTGCATGGCCCAAAATGACTGCACCCCAATATAAAAACATAAGATGTGGATCAAACAAAGACTTCACATTGAACAAACTCACAACGACTCCTGCCGGCACACCACGAAGAACCACCACATCGGCATCATCAAAGCCCCTGCAATCCATCATTGCCCTTGGAGCCAAACTCCAGCTCCAATCACCTGCTGATGTGGCAGGATCGGAATATGACTCAAAATCGGCAGCCACAACCAGGAGTTTCCCCCAATATCATAGCAGCTCCAATTCACACCACATGAGACCAATTTGAGAAGCATACTGAGAGGTTGACCAATTCCTCCGGCAGCGCCCAAGACGGCAACCTTTTTGGAGGCTGCGGCGGTGGTGGAAGAAAAGGAAGCCTTACTCATTTTGGTAGCAATCGACACGGTAGCTCGAGAAGCAGATGCAAACATTTTGGATTAATAATCGAGGCACAAAAGGAAGGCTAACTGAGGAAGGACAAGTGGTTTGATTGAAGGATTCTTATTTGTGGCAACAAAGATCCAAGAGTGTTTGTATGAGAAGCAAAAGAAAGTGAAGCGAAGCAATCCCGCAAGGGTCCGGATGCTCCTGTATCTCCCAAGAATCCATAGAACATGATGTGGCCAGCTCTCACTCCCGCAGACACTTCCGTAATGAACTCCAAGAACGGACCGTGAATGAATCCTGTTAAATAGAACGTCTCTGGCGGAGAACAGCCACAAGCCACCCCTGAAAGCAAAGGAATGGCACAATCAAAAGCTTCACCACTCGGTTATGCGCAGCAGGCCAGTACGGAACCGCAGAACTCCTCCCCAGTGGCGACTGGACCTACGCAACCTTTCTAGA